GAGACTTGTGGCCAGGATCGGCAGAGGGGAGCCTATTATAGCTGCCTCCCAAGTGCCACTTGGGTACCTTTGGGCAGCTGTCATCCCCACTGAACTCTTCTCACTGGTCTTGTGGTTTTCCCCTGGGATATCAAAGAAAGGACTGAGGAGGGGAGGGAATGGTGAGGTGGTGCCTCAGGATTTATAAGACTCCCAGGGCCTAAACTGTTGTGCAAGCCCACACTTTGTAAGCCAATAACCCTCCCCCCACTTTTATTTGTGCTTTGCAACTGGTTAACAAACTATGGTTTATTTGGGGGGATGGGTTCAGACTTGATGGCAAACCAGACTTCAACGAACATTGCCATGACTTAACACTCTGTTTTAACCAGACCTTGATGTGCTTCATCCTTTCTACACTCTTCTAGCAACCATGATCCTGCTCTCTAAGCAGCTTCAGTGCAATCAGTTGAAGCAAAGTATATATTCCATTCATTCTTTGCAAACTGTTGCCTTATAAAGAGATCAACAGGAGGTAGTGAACATGACACCTTGCCATTTGTAAGGTCATTTTTCAGACAGCGCTGAAGCAGCCAAAGCATACAAAGCAAGCAGATCTCCAGTAGAAACCTTATGCCACCAGTTCTGCAAGCAAACGTTATGAACACATTGAAAAAAACACACAGCTGACAGAAGCTGAAAAACAGAGCTAGTGCATTTTTGTCTACTAATCAGCATACCAGAAGAGAACATTCAGCTTCTGGTACCACCCTAACCAAAGTAATAAACATTCGCTCCACTAAAGTGAATTAGAGGATTTGCTTCAATCAAAACCCTCTACTGGCATTAGTCCACAGAACCAGCCTGTAAATCCAAAGGAAAACACCACCCATCCCTGCGTAGCATCACACCAACGCTTTAATAGCACCACTTTGGGCCAATAGTACAGAAAGCCCAACCCCAAAGAAAGACATGATACAAAAACACCAAACCAATTTCTAAAAATGATCTATGACTCACAGGACCCTGTGACAAGGAAAATTCATCTTGTTGCCAAGTGTAAGATTTGGCATTAAGATAACAATGTTCTCTCTGTCTAGAAAAAAATGCCAGGGGCATAGTTGAAGCCTACCTTCCATAACTATGACAATGACAAAAAAATATTAATTGTATTTGATTCTTTGAAATTTCAATCTTTGTGATTTGTATTTCAGGAAAATGTGAAGAAGAGGTGTGTGTGTGTGTGTGTGTGTGTGTGTGGAGAGAGAGAGAGAGAGCGAGAGCGAGAGCGAGAGCGAGCGCGAGCGCGAGCACAGTGGAGTGAATGGGATGAATGAATCTCATATAACTACATGCATTCATAACTGGGAACTTGAACATTCATTAAGAGCAATTTGGTGGCCAGGTTACTTAGCATTTACTGACAGTCCAACTCATTGAACTACAGAAATCGTTTGTGAATGGCTGTGGCACTGATGCTACTACTTCCTTGTGCTCAATAAGTCATGTAAGTGGGTATATCATAGCTAGATTGGTCACAATATTAATTTGACCAGGTTCTGAATTTTTTAACTTTCTCTATGTGACCTACAAAACACATTTGTGATGTTGGTAAAAATAGGAACTGCATTTGTATGCTTATACAGCTTTACAGTACCTATCATACTGTTTGTAGTTAGAACAAGGAAATACATTATGAAGATGCTATAAACACTAGGGCTCCCCAGAAGGTAACTGAAACTCTGAAGGAGGGTGAACCATTTGGCCACAACAGATGCTGTGGCAATCATGTGTCACAAGGAGATCTATGGGGGAAATTCCTTTTGTAAAGGATTGGTAAGTACACCATTACAGATCTCTAAATAGGAATCTTCCAGACTCCCATCACAACTTCGCTGTGAAAAAGGAGGGAAGCTCAATCAGCCCTTTATCATTCAGAACTGAATTACAGATCTGGAATACCACCCAGAGGTGCAAAGAAGGATGGAGCTAAGCCCTGAATACATCTCGATGCAATAAGCCAAAAACAACTTGAAGATTACATTCCACAGTACTCCAGTTTGAAAGATCACTTGTAATACCCAGGGGTCACTGCACTTTGCAGGGATAAGTGACCATCTTTTGACTCTGCATTTATTAATGTCACATTAATATGTTAACTGACATTTTGGTTCATAACCCAGTCCAGCCAGAATGCTTCCATCTAAGCAAATTCCAGCTTATTGAGCTCTATGATTTGTTGCAGATTCTGCTTCTGTTAAGTTTTAATGAGCTATACATAGTTCTGTATTCAGGAAGCTCATGACTGTCAGTTAACTACTTATATTATGCTGAATTCAGTCTTGGTACTGACAAAGAATGTTAGTTGTATTAAGAAATGCAGAAGCTAAAAGACCTGACTAGTGTATAATTTTAAGGAGAGAGCTCTCTAAATCCAAGCCTCTTCCCAGCTCTGAGTAAGTTTTCCCACTGATAGGCAGGGACATGGGCTTGGTGAGCTTCTGCATATTAGGCAGCTAATATGTTCAAAATATCAGATCATACTTATACACTTTCAACAACATTACTTCAATGTCTACAGTCCCATATATCTGAACACAGCTTCAACTCCTCAAAAATGTAAATGGCATTAAAATACAAAAAGACTTAAGGTTAGCATACATCTTCCAGACTTGAAAAGATCAATTTTAAATTCTGTCTCTGAGAAAACAGCTCACATCTCAAAAATCACACCTTAAAATCAATTTGTTTATATTTTCCTAAACAATATTTCAAATTTGATAGCATACACCTTATACAATACCTATTGCCCATTGATTACTGACCACTCACTGATACATGAGCTTTAAGTACACCATTGTTTTTGAGTTCATTAACTAACATCACCCAACATTCTTAATGCCTCAAATAATCCTCAATTTTAATGACCTCCCTTGGGTATTATTCAGACAACTTTACCAATTAGTTCTTCTTAATCAGTTACCCACATTTCATTATGGACCTACTTGTGTTCTCTTTAATACAATCTTTGTTCTTACCTATTTATATCTCCAAGTATTTATATCTTAAGTGTTACTATGCATTTTCAGTGGTTCTTTATCTTACATTTAAAGAACTGACATCCTGTATTGCTATGAGAATGGTGGGCTCTTAATTTTTTCAGTAGCATTCCCAATTATTCTAACACAATTAAAATCAGCTGTTTCCTAGAGATATGTCACAGTTTTAATAACAAAAAGACAAAAAGACAAAGGTGTGAATAGGATTACCAATTAATGAAAAGGAACATGGTCTGCAGGTAAAAGATTTTCATGATATAGAAATATTTATCATTATCACCTGCTAAAGCAGCTCTCCCCAACCTAGCACCCTCCAGATGTAGGATTCTAATTCCTATCTAGACATTAAAAGATCTCAAATGTGAAATTACAATCCACCAACAAAAAATATGTAGCATGTCTCAAAATCAGTCTCTATATTGGAGGATTGGAGAATAGCCAGTGTAACACACATTTTTGAAAAATGGATCCAAATAAATTGATTGAAAGCATTATGAAAGAGGAAATTAGCAGACATACAGAAGGACAAGACTTGCTGAAATTATAATCAACATGGCTTGCACAAGCATAGATCCTGTCTCATTAACCGTTTAGGGTTCTTTTAAAGTGTGTGAATAGGCACGATCCAATAGACATTGTTTGGACTTCCAAAAGGCTTTTCTTTTAAGTGAAGTCCCTCACCAAAATCTGCTAACTAAATTAGCAGTTACAGAATAAAAGGAAAGGTTCTCTTATCTATCAGTAACTGGTTAAAGAAGAGAAAGCAAAGAAAGGGAATGAACAGCAAATTCTCCAGATGGATGGATGTAAACAACAGGGACCCACAGGAATCTGTACTGGGCCAATGCTTTTCAACATACTCAAAAACAACCTGGAATTTGGAGTGAACAGTGAAGTGGCCAGGTTTGCCAGTGACACCAAATGATTTAGGGAGGTTAAAGGGGTGGGGGGATTGCAGGGAGCTCTAAAAGGCTCTCTCCAAACTATAAGAATGGGCATCAAAATAGCAGGTGCAGTTTAATGTAAGCAAGTATAAAGTGTTACACATTCAGGCAAAAAAAAAATAAAAATAAAAATCTTTTTTAGTATAAACTGATGGGTTCTAAGCTAGCAGTGACTGACCAAGAAAGGGATTTGGGGGTCATGGTGGACATCTCAATGAAAATGTTGATCCAATGTCTGGCTGTTGTAAAAAGGGCGAAGTCCATGGCAAGTGTAATTAAAAAGGGAATTGAAAATGTAACTACTGAGATCATACTCCCATTACAGTGTGACCATACTTAGACCATAGTGTACAGTTTGGGTCAATGAACCCAAAAAAGGATATTACAGAGTTGGAAAAAGTGCAGAAAAGCGCAATTAAAAAGATGAAGGGGTGGAGAAACTCCCCTAAGAGGAAAGTTTGGGACAGCCGAAAGTGTTTAGCTTAGAAAAAGTTGAGCAAGGGGAAACATGATCGAGGTGTATAAAATTATGCAAGCTGTGGAGAAAGTGGAGAGGGAGACTTTCCCCCCTCTCATACAATGCTAGAGCCCAGGCTCATCCCATGAAGCTGATTGGTGAGAGATTCAGGACAGATAAAAGGAACTAGTTCTTCATACAGTGGGACTATGGAATTCACTTTCACAAGATGCAATGATAGTCACCATTCTGAATGGCTTTACAGAGGACTGGTGAATAAGGAGGCTATCAATAGCTACTAATCCTGATAAGTATATGTTACCCCCAATATCAGAGGCAGTATGCCTATGGACATCTGTTGCTGGGGTACATGGGCAGGAGGGTGCTGTTGCTCTCATGTCCTGCTTGTGGGTGTCCTGTGGGCAGCTGGTTGGCCACTGGGAGAACAGATTGCTGGACAAGATGGATCTTAGTCTGATCCAACACAGCTCCTCTTATATTTTATACCCCAGCTTTCTTTCTTTTCTTCAACCATACAGTTGGGCAGAAGGAGGGACATACTATTCTTGCTGTGATCCCCTCTTCCAGAAGCCACGCTGGCCAGGATTTATAAGAGCTGCAGTCCAACATATCTGGAGGGCACCAGGTTAGAGAATACTGTGGTAAAGTGAACAACTGAACACCAGCTGAAAAAAGAAAGTTAAGAAACCTAATTAGAGAAAATTAATGTACCCAAACTGCAAACACAAAGCATACCTTCACCCCTTGGCCAAAACTTCATTTATTGGTTTGGGATATCAAAATACAAACATGGTTCAAACTATACATCAGAAAGATCAGTAGACTTTTCAGTTATTTACCTGCTTCTTGGAACTTAACGCAAGGTAAGTGTAAATAGATTCTATGCATCCTTTTGACAGTTAAAAGGCTAATATTAGCAAATTGGAAGGACAACTTTGACAACATTTTACTGAAGATTTAAAATTTTGAATGAGATAATAATGGACAAATAGGCATAATGGACAAATATATCTTGTGTGGTTTTTTTGAACTTTATGCATAATTATACCCAATAATAGTTTATATTGTCATATATAAATGCATGGCAGTACATTGTATTGGTATCTGTTGCAATAAATATATTCAAACCTTATGCTACAGAACTGTAAATTTTAGTTGTATGTTTTTAAAATTTTAAAATTTTTGTTTCAATTTATTGAGATTCTTAATAAAAATTAATGGGGAAAAGAGAGAAAATGAGCAAAAGGCGTCTTTACATGAGGTTTTTAGAAGCCACTTTACCAAGGCTTCTTGTTCTGGAGTCTTTGTGGGATTAAAATCAGTTCCTTTACGTGTGTTTTCCCTTCTTTTTCTACATTTCATTACATATTTACAAGGTGGCAGCGTGATGCAGTGATACTGCACACATAAACAAGGACCTCATTCCAGTTCCTTTTACCATTTCCAAATGATGCATGTTCCTCAACTGAAAAAAAAGCAGTGAAATGGTCACAAAGAATGGGAGAAGTACTGGAAGATGGCAATGTCATATAAAGTACCTGCAAACTGCCTTGATGAGGAATCGGGAGCCCACAATAAATCCTTGGGCGGAGAAGCTCAAAAAAACTCTGTGTTTTCAGTCGTGTACAGTGTAGCACTGGTACACAGAGGAAAAAAAAATCTGTTGCATATGCTTGAAATGTATTTACATGAGCCATGATCCAGGAATTAGATGCTGTATTTTGGGAGTTCTGATTCCTACAAGCTACAAAATGCTTACATTGAGGCAACATACTCTCCTCCACCCATCCCTTTAGCCTACACTGCAGATGGGGAAAACAAATACAGTGTTTCTTTTTAACTTCCTGACATAATGTGCATTTGAACCACTTTGAACATTATTGTTAATGATGCATTATTTTAAGGTCAGCTCAAGAGTTTCTTCATTCTAAACTCCTTCCTATACCTCCTACTCAGCGCTAAAGCAGGAGCACTAGCATTTGTCATGAAAGATGCTCTCATTAGCCTGGGAAAGTGTGTTGTGTTATAAAACACAGGAAGCCATGAACCTGAAACTATCTCTCAGAAAGGCAAATGAAGCTGCCTACACTTTGTTCCTTTACATACTTTTTTTGTAAATTATGTTTTATAGATCTTTGATACTAGTTAAATCTTGTATATCATTCATTAAAAACCTCTTGCATATCATTAATAATTCAGAATATGCAAGCATGGAGGAGACCAGGATACACACCAGACTTCTCTACATGAGGCTTTTAGCCATCACTTTACCAAGGTCTCTTCTTCCAGATTCTTTGCAGGATTATGGTTGGCTCCTACATATTTTCTCCTCATCCCCATTTTTTATTTCCCTTTCTATATGTTCCATTATACAAGCAGAAGGTGGTGGTGCAGCATAGTGGAACTAGAAAAATACACATGCTTCTAGTTGCAGTTCATTCCATCATTTTCAGATAATACTACACTTTCCTTGCACTAAAAAGCCATGAAAATGTTTGGAAAGCATGAGAGAGGCCCTGGAAGATGACAATGCTGTGTAAAGAACCTGCAGATTACCATGGGTGAAGAATCACAAATGTAAGGATAAATACCTTCTTACATGAAGAAGCCCTTTGACTCTGGCACTGTTTCGTATGAACTTGAGTTTGTCCTATCAACACTGGAAATACTTTTAATTGCTTAGTGTTTCAGTCCTAAACACAGAAACTGGAACTGAGTTCCGTTAAACTGAATGAAATTTATTCCCATGTATACATGATTGTGACAGAGCTATGTGCTCACATGAACAAGCAGCATTAACTACTTTTTTCTAAGAGGAGCGCCTCCTGCAAGCTCCATACACCCCTTGTGTTGAATAACACATTCCCTTCAAAGGTATCATGCTTGATTCTGGATTCCAAGCAAAACTTTCAGAGGCGATGGGCTATTTCAGATTTTCCATAAGCCTGCACTCTATAAAACGATGTAATTTTCCTCTCTAGGGAACTCACAAACAAGCCCTGGAAAGGGTTTGGAGGTGGGCAAAGACTGGCTCATGCTCTGGCAAAATTGGCATTTAAGAAACTTGGAGTAGGGTGAGATATACATTCTTTTAAAGAAAGGAAATCTATTAATTCCATTTTCTCAGTGAAACAAGCTGGAATTCAACCATGTTCAAGGTATGTTATTCTGAGCTGTTTGCATGAACATGACCTTTCCCATAAACTAAAGGGCCAGCAAATATACAAGAGTATAACCAAGGCAGGTTTACAAGAATTGAGTGCAATCCTATGACTTTAGACAGAAAATGTGCAGCTCCCAGCATGCCCCAGGCAGCATGACTGGGAATGGTAGGATTTCCTAACATGCACAGAGCTGAACTCTTTTCTAGATTAGTTCCGGGATTGTCCACAACAATTGCCACCGTCACCACTTTATTTTCTTTATTTAAAAATCTGTATGCCATCCATTACTGTTGTCTCTGGACAGCTTACAACATTATTTCAGACTACAATAAAATAAGATAATTAACTATTCCACACTGAGCATCATTTAAAATAAATTAAATTACTATGTGTTAAAATATTGGGCAAATAAAAAGGTACCAATGTAAATTATAACTCCTGTGAAATGAGCACTGAGAAAGGCGAGCAGCCTTTGGTTTCTTGAATCAGCCAGAACTTGGATGCCCTGTCAGCCTCTCGTTCATTTCCAGAAGGAGTGTACGAGACGGTTCCGCTAAACTACTTCTCCCAACAGGCTACAGAAAAGATGGGGCTCCTCTAGAAGGGACGCGTCGCTATCCTGTGGATTTCCATTGTGCTTCTTCTTTTCCGTTCCTTTCAGGTCAGAAAACGAGAAGTTGCCTTAAAACAGACAGGAGGAGGCGCCATTCCTCTGTCTCATCTATCTGTCAACTCCTTGCAATCCAAAGTACTGCCATCTCTATCTCTGTGGCTTCCGTTCCAGCGGCTTCAAAGAAGGCGAGGATTCTCTACAACAAATGTGACGGCCGGCTTACATTTGAAGCTAACAGAATCCGCCATATGCGGGGCGATCTCAGTGGAATTACTTAGCAAGTATAAAAGACTGAAGTACAAAGTAGGGAACTAAAGGTTTTCTGGTGCTTCGTAATAATTATGCCTTCAATCCAAAAAAATCAGGTAGACAAAGATGCACGTGGCAGGTTATAGTCCCCCTCCCCTGCCCTCAAGGGTCCTACGGTTTAAATCTTCATAACAAGCAGAAATTCAATAGCAAAGGCGCCATTATGAAAAAAAAATCTTGTCATTGAATTTCTACCTGTTAATTACGCTCTATATGCAGAAATTCAGGAGCCGCTGCCAACCCCGTTCATATGCTGGTAAAGGATCCTGGAGATAGAGCACTTCCTCTCCCCCACTTGACACCCTCAACACCTTCTCTACTAGTAACCATAGTGATTGAAGAGCTGACCCGGAAGTGAAGAGGCCATGTTGCGAGTGACCGCGGGAGCTGCACCAGGAGCGGGAAGAGGTGGGGTTGAAGCCCCCGGAGCGCAGCGCACCAGCCGCCTCTGTGAAGGAATTGAGAGCGGCAGCCGCCGAGCATCTGTCCCTGAGCCCTCCCGCCGGTGAGTCCCTAGAGCTGCGGGACTGTCCCTTCCCCGGGAGCCCCCAGCTCGGAACGCTGAGGCGGGCAGAGGCGATGGAGGGGACTTGAGTCCCCGCTGGCTTCAGCTCCGCTCCGGCCCTCTCCTCTTTCTCCTCATGGTTTCGCGTCCACTCGTTTCCTCGTTAGGGTACGTGTGGAGAGGACAGAGATACTGACTTGCTGAATGCTGCTTATGGTCTCATACACCAAAATGTAGAGGCTCCCGAGGCTTAAAAAATGCTGTGATGGAGCCCATGACCTTTTTTGTCTTCCAAAGGAACTTCCGTGACTGGAAGGAAATACATCTGCCTCAAGCTAACCAGTCATGCGATACTTTTGAGAAGATGTGTTGAGGTTTTGTATTTAGTTCTGTGGGAGATGTGTTTCTATGCTGTACAAAAAGATGCCCTTTTTGGAGCTCTAGTTTTGGGAAAGCCTTTCTTACAGTTTGTTAAACGTTCTGATATGTCAGCTGGGGTGTTCTAACCTTTGTTTTGGAGAACAAATGGTGCTTAGTTTTGCTAGAAGATGTAGTGGAAGCATAAGAACAGACTTATACTTGGCCAGGCCATTGGTCTGGCTAGCCCAATAACCAGTGGAAGTTTTTCCAGCCTGACCTTGATACCTTCTGGGTGCAAAGTAAATGCTGTTCCATTGAGTCATGATTTTCCCCTGAGACCATCATGAGAGTAAAGAAACAGCTGTGAGGCACCATTCATGATAGGAGCTAAGTGCAGCTCTCAGGTGAAAGGCTCACTTTCTCCAGGTAGTAACTCCTGGTGTGGAGGCCACCTGAGGGGGAGAGAGGAAACCACAGCCACACATTCTGTTAAGACTCTAGCTTCATGAACTGTAGAATTGCTGCCTGTAGTGCAGATATAAAGATTTTTGAGAACAGAAATTCAGGACCATGTCAACCGTATCTGAAAGGGAATTCTGCAAAAACTTTCCATTGATGGAACAGAGTTTCACCAGTTGAGATACAGAATTGCTGGGAATGTAGAACTAGGGAAGGCATAAGGGCTGGGAATAACTATGGTAGAGAAAGATAACTGAATGAATTAGAGGTGGGTAGTTAGAAGAAAGATCCAGGATTTGAAGCACTGCAAGTTGATTGGCTTGTACATAATTTGGAAACATTTGTATTTAGTATATTTCTAATCTGCTCAGTAACTAATGTTCTTTACCATAGTCAGAAAGCTGCAAAACTAATTAGCTTCTTTAAGCTGCCCTGAGATGGCTTTGTCTTGAGAGGCAACATAAAAGCACTTCTAGTAAATAAATTCGTAATTACCAGAAGTTTACATGGATATATTTCTCTTAGTAGTTACTGCACTACTCTGTGTCAGTTAAGACACAGTTTGGCCCCAATTAAGACATACATACACTATCTATTTGTATTCATCTTCTCTTTCTGTATGTCTTCAGTTCAACCTTCTTCCACATATCCTCCATGGCAGCGTGGACCCGTGAAGCAGTGCTGAACCTTTATCGCACTCTATTGCGTCAGGGAAGAGGCCTACGCTATACCGATCGTGATTTCTACTTCAGAACAATCCGGCAAGAGTTTCGCAAGAACCTGCACCTTGAGAATCTTGAAGATAAGGAGAGACAGCTGGAAAAGGGCCAGGCTTTCTTGCACAGCAAACTTGGGGGGTTGATTTAGAGGTTGCCCATTTTCTTTTGGGGCCCCAGTCTTGTTCCTTATTCTCTCTTGACTTTTGGTCCAAATGGTTAATGTCTCTGAAAGAAGGATCTTGAAAGTGCCCTCCCTACATCCCTGAAAGTATTTCCCTGTCTCCTTCACAGATGAATTAGGCTGTAGGTAGGTTACTTTTAGTTACATATGTTCTTCTAATTATTAAGTACCTTTACAAGGAGTCCTCAGATGGCCATAGCAAATGGTCATATCATTTGCCCAACTTCTGATCATCTAGTGATGCCTTAGCTTTTGTACTTTTTTTGGTAAAAAGCTGATATTTTATTATATATAAACATTTATAAACATGTATATACCCGCTGAAAAGCCATAAAGATAGTATACAACTATTTAAACCACAATCAAAATATTAAAACAGAAGAAAATTCTGTATTAAAACAGAATAGTGATAGAAACAGTGGTTTGTCAGCCAAGGTAGGCCTCCTGAAATATGGATGCTTTCAGGAGGTGCTGGAAAGTACGTGATGTTGATGCCTGCCTGACCTTTAGAATTGCATAGAAATTGTGCTGCCACACTTAAAGGCTTTTCTCTGTGTGGGCTTCAGTTGGGCCATGGGCCCATGTGGAACCAGCAGAAGCATGCCATCTTATTATGTTTCCTAAGGATTTTCCAAGGTTTAGTTACTGGTAATAAAAGTTTTATGCTAAAGTATTCTTACTTTTGATATGTTGGACCTGCCCTTTCTGTCCCCATGTTTTGTTTTTGTCCCAGTCTGGCCCTTCAATGCAGCCCCCGATGAATTCTCTCAAATGAACTGGGCACCTCTGGTGCCCTAATTTAAGCATCTAAAAGTAACTGGCCTTGCAAAGAATTATTTGCATGTGGAGAGTGTAAGAAATGAAAAATATATGTGCTGTAGAGGATGAGAAACTTCTCACTAGCTTTTGATGGAATGATTTCATTTTACACAGTCCTGTCAATTCTCATTCTGATTCCTTTTAGGCCTTGAAAATCAGTTCACCAATATGAGGTCATTCCACTTAAAACCTCAGATTATTTTGTCTTTACAAGAACATATGTTGCATTTTCCTTGGGAATTTAGTTTAGCAGTATGCAGGGCAGTGTAATGTGAAAGAGAGACTTGGCTTTGGGTGTTGCAGAGCTAGCTTCAGATCCTTATCAACCATGAAGTTCAGTGGAAGGCCTTGGGCAAATCTCAACCCAAGCTATTTCAGGTGTCTTCTAACAAATGACATAGTAATGTGTGATAATTGCTTCAGTTAATTAATTACCTTTAGTAACAACCTATAGGGAAGAGTGAGATTCAAGCTCATATCAGGAAGCACTGGCAAAAGTAATTGTGTTAATTGTGTTGTTATTCTCTTCCTATGAAGGAGCAATGGCTGGCGCTGGAGAGCGCAAAGGAAAGAAGGATGACAATGGCATTGGCACAGCCATTGATTTTGTATTGTCTAATGCCCGACTTGTACTGGGCGTGGGAGGTGCTGCCATGCTGGGTATTGCCACCTTGGCTGTGAAACGGGTAAGAGTGAACACAGTGGATGAAAGGCATAATTATGAGTATCCAAAGGTACAACAGAAGGATGCAGAAACAGAAGCTTTTGAGTGCATCCCACAGTAATTTTTCTGTTTCCTTATACTTCAGATGTATGACCGGGCAATCAGTGCTCCTGCCAGCCCCACCCGTTTGAGCCAGTCAGGAAAGAGAAGCTGGGAGGAACCAAGCTGGCTTGGATCATCATCACGGTTACTGAACCAAGATATGAAAACTAATATTAGTCGTTCTCTACAGACACTTCCCACTGATCCTTCAGCCTTTGAAACAGGTGATCCATAACCCTAATCTAACATCTCTATTTATGTAACTGGTTTTTAGAACCTAGTAAACGTGTCTTCTTAAGGACTAACACAGTTAATGAAAGGATTTTGTGTCTGGAAGAGATTCTTTAATGATAAATACTTTGTACCCAATGTATTTGTGACAAGTGCTTTTTTAGTATCTTGTTTAAAAATATTCAAGTAATGAGAGTATCTTCTTCTGAATTGCTCCCAAGGGCGTTAAAGTTCTTTTTAATACCCATTTAATATTCACCTAAATCATTCAGTTGAAACCAATTGATTTCTATTTCATTCTTCCACATTTGGAAAATAACTTAATTAGGATGAAAAAATGGCACAGAAGGGTGTGCAAACTTTCAAATTTTGGAGAGCTCTTCATTGGACTAGATGGTGTAAAAAAAAGTGGGTAGGAGAAAAGTAAATTACAGCAGGACCCCCATATCCACAGGGTTAGGTTCCAAGTCCCCCATCAGCTATAGTAGGAAATGCTGCATTTTCAGGGGTTAAGGGCCCAGGATCCGTGCAGAAGTGGAAAACCTGAAAATGTTTCTAGTTTCTTTCTGCCATTGAGAGACAACACATGAGTGAAGTTGGCTAGTATCGAGTTAAACAGTGTGATGTCCCCAAACAGAGTGTGTAGTTCTCTAGAGACATCTGCAGGATTCCCCTATAGATATTCATGGTTTTTCCACTTTCATGGGGGGTCCTGCAGCCCTAACCCCGCAAATGTGGAGAACTGGAGGTCAGCCTCAGTTAAGTGAAACTGCAATAACCGAGGCAGTGGATACTGGTCTTCAGCTTTGGTCTCAGTGACAGCAGACAGAATGAATTATTCAGATTATACCTAGTATTCAGGGACAAAAATCAGTGGCTGGCCCCGTTTTTCAAAACAGACCATCTGTAACTCAGAACTGTCTGTCTGCTTTAGGCATGATCAGAGAGAAGTAGAGAAAAATAACACTTTTTATCATGGTACAAACAGCAATTAATCTAGGTAAATTAGTCAAAAACAACTGTGCAGCATTACCACTAATACTTACTTGGTACTATTCATATCTTGGTTCCTTATATATGTTTTTCATGAGATCCCCGCATTTCATACTTCCCCATTCAGAACTATTCACCTTTGCTTTCATACCATTTTATAACATAAACCACTCTCTTAAGATTCTATTTGTCCTGGGAAGAAAAACATGTTTGCTTGGATATTTTTATCCGAAGGCAAATAGCAGCTGCGGTAGGAAAGTTTTTGTGATGAAATAGTGTAAGAGAGGGTTAACCCTCATGCGGTAGTCTGGATCAAGGCCCCAAATGCAGTCAAGCATTTTTCATTTCATCTAATTTGACTTGTAGCCTCTTTTAAAACTAGGCCAACTGCAGGAAGATGCTTTATTTGCTGTTGGAGGATAAATAGCAACAGTTTTTAATTACTACATCTATTGTATTTATTACAAAATGGGTTACTGCAAAACGTCTAGATCAGTGATAGCGAACCTTTTAGAGACCGAGTGCCCAAACTGCAACCCAAAACCCAATTATTTATCACAAAGTGCCGACACTGCAATAAAACTTGAAAACTGAGTTTTTAGTTTAGAAAAAACAACTCGCAGCCAGTCCAAGGAGAGAGAGAGCGCGAGCGCGCGCGCGTGAGCGAGCTTTGGCAGTTCACTGACTGGCCGTGCGAAAGCTCAGACAAGTCGCGACTAATGTTGTGGCTCATGACGTCATTGCCTGGCACCACTACTCCTTTCCAAGCATGCACGTGGCCTCTGTGTGCGCTGTTATCCGATGCTCGGCTTCTGGGGTGATGGTGGGGCGACTTGGCTCGCATGCTGACAGAGAGGGCTCTGCATGCATGCCATAGGTTCGCCACCACTTATCTAGATTATGGCCCCAAATATACAACCTTGGACATAGATTCAGCCAATATCATTGACATCTGCTTCCTCAAATTAAAACAAACCAAACAATCAGGATTAAGGTGTTAATGGGCTCTATTGACCCCTAAATGTTGAATAACTTGTCCTGCTTGAATTTCAGCTATGGTGTTGTACGAAATGTTTGTGTTTGTTTACATAGTTGCCAAAGTCCACTTTTCCCCCATTTCCTTCTGCTCAAAGCAGATTCAATTGAGTGCATCTGAATTGTACCTAACAAGTCATTTGCAGTGAAATATTGGGTTCTCTCTTTCTCTCTTTCACTCACTAACCCTATCCTTGTAGATTCAATAAAATCCATGAAACACAAATCATCTGCCAAGAAAAGCCAGGTGGAGCTCAAGAAGTCTCGCCTCCGGGTGTCTTTACAAGAGAAGCTGTTTGCCTATTACCGAAGAAAGGTGGCCATCCCAACAGAAGAGCAGGCCAGAGCCAAGCAGGCTGCTGTGGATATCTGTGCTGAACTACGTGGTTTCCTCCGTGCCAAGTTGCCAGACATGCCTCTGCGTGAAATGTATTTAAGTGGTAGCCTCTATGATGATTTGCAGGTAACTTGGATGGATAAGGATTCTTCTTTAGTAAGCATAATGGAGGCAGAGAATCTTTAGGCTTTCTTAACCCCTGTGATGTCCCACCATCATGCTGTTGTGGTTACACTTGTCCTGTGTTTCTCTTGTTTTCTTGAGTGATTTGCATAAGAAATTATCTACACACCCTTCCCCCACCTTTCTTTTTCAATTTTCTGTTCTTTGTGACCAGCTTCTTCATCTGTCCTTTGTCTCTTATCTTTGTTCCAGGGAAATCCAGAATCCTTTCATATGTGCACTCTCTTCCATTGTTCTGAGTATATGATGATAAGCATGGGAGCCATCCTGCATGCTACCTAGATGACCGGATGGCTTCTAGGCAAGCCATTTAGAATGGACACGTTACACTTGAATTAATCACATCATGATTATATATAACATTTTGTCTTCATAAAAGTTACATTTGAGACTGTCACTGAACACTAGTATTTCAATGCTGGTTATGCTTACTTCAGAAAAATAGGGTACTAGTTTTTGCCAAAGTCTCTCTTAAAATCATTTAAATCATCCTCTGGTTTTAGACAATTAAAACTTGTGGGAGATACATAACTAAGTGATGGCTTTGCATGCAAAAGATCCCAGATTCAATTCCTGGCATCTTCAGGTAGGGCTGCTGCAGTTACCTGGTTGCTGCTACTGGTTAGTGTAGACTGGGGGTAGAAAATGTGGCCCTCTAGATAATGTTGGACTGCAGTTTCCATCAGCCCAAGTCAGCATAACTAGTTGTGAGGGTTGATGGGAACTGCAGTCTAACAATATCTGTAGGACTACATGTTCCGTCTCTCTGGGGAAGACAATACTAAGTCAGATGAATCAGTGGTCTGACTCAGTAAAAAGACAGCTTTCTATATTCTTCCATGAAATGCCCTGAGTTACTGTGCTGCTATTAATATGAGTTCGAGCAGTTGCATATTTTTCAGTGCAGCAATTCTGGTGGGCAGCCTATGTGTTCATCAAGTTCTTAGGATTGTTCTTGACCTTTAGATAATGCTGAATATAGCGATGAACTGGAAAGAGCCTCAGAACAAGAAATACCAGGCAACCTCTCAGAGTGTAAAATCTCAGGTAAACCTCACCTACACGCAAGCTTACTCCAATCCACTAAAAACCAGGCAAAGAACACCTTGGTTCCAATTTAACAAGATGGAGCTGCTGAACTGTGGCTGCCTGTCATTATAGGCTTGTGAATGCAATGATGAACATGAGTTTATAAAAGTATAAACTGCTTTTATTTCCTATTTTTCAGTGATTTATAAGAAACAATCATATCTTTGGTACAAGCATGCTATAACAGGGCATGGAGCATCAGAGATGTTTCAGCTGAGTTTTTCTTTGCCGTCTGGTCATGGTTGGTTGGTATAATCTTTAAGGACCTTGGATGTTTAACCCCTTGCTTTTCTTTCCATGACAGGTTGTGACAGCTGATCACATCCAGCTCATTGTTCCTCTGGTACTGGAACAAAACTTGTGGTCATGCATTCCAGGGGAAGAGACTATTATGAACATCCCTGGCTTCTGCCTGGTACGTCGGGAAAATCCAGAATATTTCCCTCGTGGTAGCAGTTATTGGGATCGCTGTGTGGTGGGGGGTTACCTCTCACCCAGGGCTGTGTCTGACACCTTTGAAAAAGTAGTGGCAGGCTCCATCAACTGGCCAGCTATTGGGAGCCTCCTAGACTATGTGATCCGTCCAGCAGCACCCTTGGAATCTCTAACTTTAGAGGTCCAATATGAAAGAGACCGACACCTTCTAATAGAGTTCTTACCATCTGTGACACTAGGTGACACTGTCTTAGTGGCCAAGCCACACCGTCTGGCTCAGTATGATAATTTGTGGCGACTCAGCCTTCGGCCAGCAGAAACAGCTCGCCTGCGGGCCTTAGACCAGGCTGATTCTGGCTGCCGTTCCTTGTGCCTCAAGATCCTCAAGGCCATATGCAAGCTGAATCCTGCACTGGATCATCTTTCTGCCAGCCAGCTCACCAATGTCATACTACACCTGACTCAGGAGGAGACTGACTGGTCACAAGATGTGCTCGCAGACCGTTTTCTTCAGGCGTTAAGAGGATTGATTGGTTATTTGGAAGCGGGAGTTCTTCCCAGTGCTTTAAATCCCAAGGTGAACTTATTTTCAGAGCTTACTCCTGAAGAGGTGGATGAATTGGGCTATACCTTGTACTGTTCCCTTTCAGAACCAGAGGTCCTCCTGCGGACATAATAGCTGCCTTATGTGTGAGAATAGGGTTAGAGCTACTATCCATGACAGGTTCTCTGACACCTGCGTGAGAGATGCACACCCTGCCCCATTATTTTGGCAAGTCCGCCTCTGCTTTCCTTCATTCTTATAGAGGGGTGGGGAGGTTTTTCAGATTTCTTGGTGCTTCTGGTTCCGTTCCACTATGCTCATAGGAGCAGTCTCAAGTGGGAAGGATGATGTGAAACTGCTGCTTGGTCTAGTAAAATATTTTTGCTGGTATCCCACTGCCTATACAAACCTATTCCTTGCTTCAGCAAAAACTCACTCCCACTTTGCCAAGTGTGCAATTGGGTCAGTACATTACTGGCAATTCTTGGAATCAGTTAACTGAGTTGATTTTTCTCCACTAGTGCTCTGCCCTTGATTGACCCTTTCCTACAAAGAGATGTATGGCAGCCTGAAATAAATGTTTTAGTAGAAATATTTATAGCAGAGAATGTATGAAATCCACACATGGATTACATTTATATTATTTAGAAGAATGGGGTATGTGGGGAGTGGTCCTGAGGAGCGGGGAGAATGCGAGAGCACTTGCTTGCATATTGCACAAATTTTCATTGCAGCTGAGCTTAAGTGCAATTCCTTTGTTGGGAAACCGAGTCTGTATTATCCAGGGTATACTCTGCCAATTTGGGCTCCTTACTATGCACATGTGTCTCTTGTTGCACCCATGTTTGAAAAACTGCTAGTGCATCCCTAATATGTCTAGATGAATGTAGGAAGAGTCTGTTGCTATTGTGATTGCTTGGTCCTGTGGTAACAGCCTGAAAAAGCAGGAACTGCTAGAGTAGTGCCCTTCCTTTGATCTTTTTTGTAACACTGAGTAGGAAATCTTAGGGAATCATCTTCTCAAATATTCCAATTTTGAGCACTCTAACACTTGATGAAAATACCGTGACTGAAAAGTTTCACAAAAGATCCTTGTGGGTTAGACCTTGATTTCCTGTTTGTTGGCCAGTCAGGAATGGAAGCGTTTCCTAGGGATTAACAAAGGCAAATGTTTGGTGGGGGAAGCAAAAAAACAACAACTTTGAATGCAATATTAAAATTATGCTCTTTAAACACTTAAGGTGGTATGTTTTACACTTAATCAGTTCGACCCTGCTGCTTTTAAGGAGTCATCAGCAACAACTTTTTCTTGTTAAGTTTTATCCTTTTTATAACTGCCTGCTCCTTGAGATGGTGATACTGCCCTTAGGGAGTGGCCACTTACTCTATCTCCTGCTTTGCATGAAATTGGCAACGACTGTGAATGTGTTATCTCTCAGGAATACTTCTTTCTGTTACTTCTGCCATCACCAAAAGAAAAAGTTGTGTTCTGAGTGGTTTGATTCTGTCTAACCTGTACAACAAGTATTGCTATGTTTATATAGGTGTAGTTCTTCAAATAATGGTTCCTCTGTTTTCACATACACAATACTCACCTTTACCATTAAAGTGAAATATGGCTAATGGGATAATTTGCAGGTGTGCAGAGTCAGGAACATGTGCCCTTCCCTGCTTCTTTTCAAGGTGGTACTTATGTTAACAAGGTAAACTTTCAGCCTAGTTCCAGAGAAGAGACTTTAATCAATTTTCCTTGCTTATACAATGATCTCCTTTCACATTATCTCTCCTCACATTCTCTTACCTACTGAATGGGATTTGTTTGCACAGTAATGAAACAGTGTTGTAGTTATTTAAGGCACATCAGACTTTTAGCCAAAGACTTGGAAAGTTTTATGTGGGTGCCTGGTAATTTGTAGCCTGGAAAAACATCAGGTTTATCCCTCTAACAAAAGAGCTGAACTTTTCCAGTGCTCTTGAATTATTCTTTCTCTCTTCTCAGCCATTCTTCTAGCAGGAGTCTTCCTGCTGCCCATGCTGTCAAGCAAGTATGCAGAATATAAATGGACAGAGATCTAGTTCCAAATACATAACATAGGAGTTTTAGGAAACCTCATTTTCACCTCTTCTGTGTTCTTTCTTTTCCTCTTTTTCCATCATTCTGCAGCATGTAGAATCATACAGTATGCTAGGTGATTCTGAAATGGCATCTTAGAGTAGAAGGGGATCTAGCATTCTTGTGCCCTTCTACTTGGCATATCATTACATGTTTGTTTTAAAAACAGACCCTTTGTTATAGAAATGTATTTAATTAAAATTGTGACCATTTCTTGTTGCAATCAAGCTGCATATGTACTGAATGTATTCTTAGGCCAGTGGTTCCCAGCAGGACATTATTTTGTGTGCTTCATCTTCATCACTACAACTGTTCCTTCTAAAAAAGCAATGAACTGTCATCCTTTGAAGTTCCTTGAAAAAGGAAGCGGGCTTTCAGCATATTTCATAATAAGACAGGTGCTTGTAATTGTACAAGCAGCAGAGACATTGCCATTGGCACTGAACACAAAGTCCAAAGTTGTAATGGTTGAGTGAAACCTATGTGGGTTATCCCTCATTTCTGTGTGTGTGGGGGTGCATCTTTCACAAGTGTTCAGACACCAGGTTGTGTGGGACAACAATAGCAATCTTGCATTAATGCTACTGCGTGAGTAGAAAATCTGCTTTGAAGCATTGTTACACTGACACCCATCAGTATTCACTAAAACGCATGAGAATATATTTGGTAGTTATTGCTAGAGGGTTCAGTCATTTCAGAAACATAAGAACAAAGTAGTTCATGGCTGCTCTTCCTGACATCATATGACTGTCACAGGCCCAAAAGCACAGGGCTACTCTTGCCCCTTAAGCCTTGACAAAGCTTTGGGCTGCACAGACCGATGTGATTCTTCCCTCCACTGCAAGATGGGGACCAACTAGCTCAGTGGCCCATTTCTGTTGCTCTCCATTCATCTCCCAAATCCTATGAAATTCTTAACATGAGAATTGTGTAAATGATGATGGTTTTTCCCCAGTGTGTGTATACCCATGTTATTGAAGGAAAAGGAATGAAATGTTAAAGACTCCAGCTCTAATGTTATGTAAGGGAAGAGGAGAGTCTAGTGCATGGTCTGTGGCAGTATGTGGAAATGGTGAAATAATAAAAACTTTCCACAACAGTGTGGCTGTTTTTCGGTGTGTTCAAGGTATACAGTGATTTTTTTTTACATTCTCTGTCGGCTGGAGGGGATGTGGAATTCTCTTGTGTGCCAGTTAGATGGACTAAAATGGTGTAATTTCCTTGCTTGGTCTGCTGTTAATGTCCAGGGGAACATTCCAAGCCTTAACATGGAAAAGGCTTAAGCAGTGCTTTGGTCCATCTGCAATTACTGTATTTTTCGCTCTATAAGACGCACCTGACCATAAGACACAGCTAGTTTTTAGAGGAGGGATCCATGGAAAACTTCCTGATAATCACAGGCACATTCCCCATCACTTCCCCATGGGCTTCATTAAAAGACAGGTTGCCATTTGAAAGCACACACTGACCTGTGATTAACAGCTCTCACCTGCGCCAGAGGAGGGGGGTGGAGCAGGGCGCACCGAGCATGCGCCGGCCAGGTGTGGTGCAGCCGGGCCGGCAGCGTGTCGGCGGTGGTCTTCTGGGCGGCAGCGGCAGGTCTTCCCGGGCGGTGGGGGTGAGCAATCCGTCTCTCCGTGCAGCTGGCGGGTTAAAGCCCGCGGCTGCTGCTCCTCTGCACCGCTCCCCCTGAGTGGCACAGCTCTCACCTGCGCCGGGGGGGGGGGGGGCGGGGCAGGGGGGGGCCGAGGGTGTGCCACCCAGGTGGTGCCAATGGTGGAGGCGGGCTGGCAGCGACCCGGGTGTTGGGCGCACACACATTCTATAAGATGCACAGACATTTCCCCTTACTTTTGGGGGGGGGGAGTGCGTCTTACAGAGCGAAAAATACGGTACCAGTAAAAATTGGCAAGTTCCAAGGGGAAACTGTGGCCCCATGCTGCCACCTGTGGCTGTTGGCTTTATACCAGCATTTCACTTAGTGAAAGCCAAAACTAGAGTGACATTTCTCCTTCATGGCACTTCCATATTTCCTTTATAGAGAACTTATGTACGTTGACTCATAACATTCTTTTCTTTAATGTGGAGGCCTTTGTGTATGCTGTTCCTCCTTTCTTAGGATGCTGTACCTCCTGTAGATTTGCATTGTTACGGAATTCCCGCACCATTTCCATTGAATAGCAACCAGTTGCAAATCAAGAGACATGACATGGTATTACTGCTGTCCCAGGGGGACTGTTTATTATTTCTCTTGCTAGAATGTAGCCACCTGCCTTCTCCCTACCTTCAGGTATTCTGGGTGGATTTCTGTAGAATATCCTTACATATGCACTATGGGATTTCTATCCTGAATGTTTTCTGGGAACATGCCATATACTGATTTCATTCCCTTTCCACTTAGAGCTTTTGCCTTAAATTAACTGAAGCTCCAAGAGGGCATTTTGGTAGTTCCTATGGCAAAATACTGGTCTTAGGAGTTCTATATGCCTGCAGTTTCTTTGGAGGCTTCTAAATCTTCCTTTCTTTTTTGTGGGAATAGCTAAGGGCCATCAAAAAATTCTGGCTGGCAACATCCCTTCATGGTCCTGACAATGTTCTTTCTGGGATGAGAACATTTTTACTAGAGCAACATTCCTCAGCCTAGTACCTTCCACTTGTTTTAATTTATTAGATTTATATCCCACTTTTTACTTAAAATGAAATTAAAATGGTTTACATTATTCTCCTCTCAATCTTATCCCTACAAGAAGACCCCTGTGAAGTAGGTTGGGCTAAGAGTCTGTGACTGGCCCAGAATCACCCCATTGGCTCCATGGCCAAGCAGGGACTCTAGAACCCAGATCACCTGAGTCCCAGTCTCATCCTCTTAAACACTGGCTCTCAGTTTTGGACTTTTGCTCCCACCAGCTTCAGCTAACATGTTTCGGAATGCTAGGAGTTCCTATCCAATCATCTGGAGAGGAAGATTGAACAACTAGCAACCCTGACAAATGAGCTATGCCTCTTTCCTCTGGAAATACAAACTTGAGAATTCTTACATCAGTTGAAGGATTTGTGCTTGTACCGAGAGAAAGAAAACCTGCTATGAGAAGTGGAGAGAAAAATACATTTATTGTTGAACGAATTAGATAAAAATAGATTTCTTGAATCAGAAAAATGTGAAAGTATGTCTCAATATTTGAGTAACACTTCTGCTTTATACCATAACCTAGTTTCATGATAAACATTTGTGATGAGTATTGTTATAAAGGTGCTTCATTGATGGGATTCAATTTCCTGGAAATACCAGATTTTTAACAGTGCTCTTCTATGCCTATCTATTTAGTAGTAAATGCCTTTAATTCCAATGGGTCTTGCTCTCAGAAAAATGTACATAGGATTGCAGCTTAAAGCAAGTTTCTAGCTCTTGTTACAAAGCATGCAAAATAAATGGAAGTTGCTTACTCAAGGCTTGTATGACATGTTGCAGTTTTGCCTATGCACCTGTAGAATAGGGGAAAGGAACAACACGGCCATCCCAGGCAACTTGACAATCTGCTAGAACTGCTGTTCCCAGGGTTGTATGGACACACGTGGGCACTCAAAATTGCTACCAAAAGAAGCTAAATGATTCAGTGAGTACAGTGGTTAGAAGGCTGTGTTTGGACATAAGGCTCATCATCAAATAAACCCTGACTGCTTGCTTCCATTGGTGTGAGCCTATGACAAGCAGTAATGAAAACTGATCTCAGTTACCTGGTGCATCAAGGGTACACCTGATTGGTCACCTGTAATGACTGTATGTTCTTAAAACATAGCGTAATTTTCATTCTCCAAGGAATAGATGGGCTGCTGAGTTGGGCATCAGTAGGTTAGTAATTTCTGTCTAATAATGAAAGGCAAAGTAAGAGTGCCTTTGGGTTCAAGTGAGCTCACTTACAGCACAAGACAGAGCCTAGACCTGTAATAACAGTATTCATGACGCCTCAAAATGAAACAAAATGAGACCTAAAACAGGAAATGAAAGTCACTGCAATTTTAGGAATCCTATCACATGGATATTGTGTTAAAATGTAGAAATGTACTCAGTTGTCTCTGGGAGAGTAAGAAATAAGTTCCTGCAGAATTAGATAGCAATTGTTTCTTTGGCTGAATTTTTTCTTACCATATTCATGTTCTTAGATGATATAATTGTATGACTTACTGCCCCTTGCACTCAAATCTTTTATACTATTCTACAGTACTATATTGTATACTATTTTACAGTATTGTAGCATGCTATGCTACAAGAGGATCGAATGTTCACACCTTCTGTAGTATGAAGCACAAAATAAAAACATGGGTTGTGAAACGAAATATAGTCAGGATGTTTAGAGTTCCTCTCCACTGATCAAGAGCAAAAGATTCTAGAAGCAATACTACTCTGTTTTGCTACCATCTAGCAAAGTAGAGAGTATGGTGAAGAGAGACAGTTGATTACCTGCATATTAGAGTAATCATGTGCAGTGTGATTCTGTTCTTCAGTTTGGTTCTCAGATCCAAGCCTCTGTTCCAGTTTAGGTCAGCTGTTCATCTGACCCTAGGTTTCTTCTCGATTTGGGGCCTCTTTTCTAAACTTTTGATGAATGATATGCTATGATATCACAGTGGCCAAAGAATTTGTCACTTCACTCTTACTGCTACTGGATTCCGCACTCCTGTATCATAGAGCAGCTTTGGCCTGAAGCAGTTTAGTGCAGAGCCACCTGCTCCCAATTTGGTACTCTCCAGATGCATTGGACTACAACTCTTATCACCCTAATCCAGCAGGTCCAGGCTAGAAAGGGACGATGGGAGTTAAATTTGGAGGACAAAGCTTGGAGAACACTGCTTTGGAATCTGAATTCTGTAGTTGATGCGCGCACACAACCTTTGTGAAACTGTGTCAGCGTTCTGTAGCATGTTAAATGTTGTGCCAGTTCAGTCATGTGGGTCTTGCAAATGTGAAAAGCAACTCAATGTTTATGTATTTGGCAGGCGTGAGGGGTAGAAAAAAATGTTAAGTTGTGGGGCTAATGTTGGGCATAGAATTGGGGAGCCTCTGTTAAAATGCCTCAATTGCTTGGAGCAGCTCACTGCCTTCCTGCGTCCTGTGAAATAGTAATGCTGATGCCAAATAAATTAGGGAAATGTAACTACCCTCCCAGATTAGCTAGGAAAGTAGGTTCTCTATGGAATAATACTCAAGTAACATTTCATTTTTGTTTTTTAAATGAAAGATAGCAAAGGTATCAAAGCTGAGGTTGAATTAACTCATATTGGATGCTAATAGGGAATTTGTGTCTAGAGACTTTATGCAGTGCAAATACTAAGGCTTTATTTGCTTTGTAATACAGGACAAACCAGCTCATTTTACTTCTCCCTCTTGTGTCCAGAGCCACAATGAGCTCTTTCAAAGAGATTTATTTACTTGTGGATTGGGGGGGGGGGGGGGGGGGCAGCTGTGTGGAGAGCTACAGTTCACATTTTTATTTGCAAGTCTGGGTGTGAGGTAGGAGCCTGTTATGGCCCCTTTTATGCCAGCCAGGCACTGCTCAGTGATAACGTCCACCAGACTGCCTAGTCGATTACACATGTAGCTGTTTCTACAATCATGCACTGAACTTTTATGACACAAGCCTATGTAGGTTTGGACATTAAAAGGGCCTAAAACACACAGCACGCCCTAGCCATTTGTAGGACTTTTTCTGTTTAAATCTGTATAGAATTGTTACCTTAGTTTTTTAGATATTTTAAAATGCTTTGATTGTAGAAAGCAAATGCTTTCTGGATTATGGAAGTGCTTTGTGGAGTCTTTTTGTGGAAGAACAAATGACAAAACTGAAATAGGATGTATTTCTTAGAGTGAAAATTTTTGCACCTTTATTCCAAAGTATTTTTCTGCCTTCAAATATTGCAGATACTGACTTAAGTGGTGATAGAGGCTTGATTGCATTGTTTGATGTGTTTGAAAACCTGTGTCGGTAAAATGTGCAAAATATTCCCAATATCCTCCTGTGGCTATTTAAACTATGGGTTTGTTGATTTTTGGAGGTACAGTCATTCTTTGATTACCTAGACCAGGGGTTGGCAACCCGCGGCTCTGGAGCCGCATGTGGCTCTTGAATGCCTCTGCTGCGGCTCTGTCGATCGCATCACAGCCGCCGCAGCTCCATAGCCCGTGCTGGCACAGCGGTGCGGTGGCTAATACCGCCAATCCACGGCCCATGCCAGCGACCGCCGCTGATCTGAGGCCCGGGCTGGCAACCGCCGCCAATCCGAGGCCCATGCTGGCACAGCACTTGGATTAATTGAAGAAAAGTTTCTGAAGAAAACCAAATGTTTAATGATACTTGGGTAGATTCATTTGCTTTTACTGCTGACGAACTTATGGGGTTTGCTGTTTAATGCATGCAGTCCTTTAGCACTGACTTTGACTCTTCAGGAAGCTGTTCTATTCAAAATATATGAAAGGAGTCCTACTAGTTTAAAAATAACAGTTTTTAGTGACTGAACAAGAGCTGCAGCTAAATCATAATGAAGATATACATAGCATTAAGGTAAAAAACAATATATGCAGTGTTATCTTCATTTTAGATGTGAAAAGGGTTTTACAGCTCCCAGTGTTTTCTTATATGTGGGAAACGGGTCCAAATAGCTCTTTGAGTGTTAAAGTTTGCTGACCCCTGACCTAGACAAACCTAGTAAAGCTGCAGAGCTAAACAAATATTAATAAACTGGTAAGTCAAGGTGACTAAAACTATGGGCACAGATGTAATACAGAACATGTGATTTGATTAGGCAAAATATATTTTGGAACAGATGTGCTTGACTCTTGATGTTACTTGTCTTCTGGTACTCAGACCAAAGTTGTAGAAGTAGCAATAGGAAGAAAATTAAATCTGTCAAATTCCCACATTTGCTACAAGGCATTGATACATATGATAGTTGTGTGCTAAATAGTGTATTTCAAAACAATTACTGTAACAGGATATATGTTGCAACTGACATCTGAAGCAAACAGAACTGCTCCTTTGTCAATCTGGTACACAGACGCTGATGTAGCCATCTGGTGACCATTTTTTCCCTCTTCACTCTTGGGCAATGAGGTTCCTCTTTCTATACCTGGCTGAAGATTATATCTCACAAAGGGGAAACAGAGAATGAATAGGATTTATTAGGCAGGAAATATATGTGGCCTTAGAGATTGGGAAAGTATTTCTAATGAGCAATACTGCTCCATGGACTATGCTCCTGGCAAATGCTTAGCTGCAGTGAGCTCTGTACAGGCCAAAAGATCCAGAAGACAACTTTGAAGATTTTCATTTAGGAGCTTGTTAATTTTGAAACATCAATGTTTTTAGAATCTGCATGATTTTAATACATTATTAACAGCATGACAAAATATAACTGCAAGGAGCTTTGGTATACAGCAAGAGGTACGTCATGTCCACCAGATGTTCTGGCCACTTCTTGTAATCCTTCACAATTGGCTATGTTGGCTAGAGCTGATGGAAGTTGTAGTCCAAAATACCTGAAGGGCACCAAGTTGCATACCCTTGGTGTACACTCTTGTAAAAGTGATTCTGCCTTTTAAAATGGCAACTCATAAGAGCAATAGAACAGCTCTTTATATGTAATATAAATCAAAGGATTTTCATCCATGCCTATCCAAAGGGATTTTTAATGAGAGACTAACAAATTCTAGTCTTTGGCCTGCAACTCCCAGGTTCCCTCATCTAAACAAGCATAGGTTTGCATCCTTGCGTAAGAACTGCTAAAGGTTTTATTAGGCCTCATCTTCCCCCTCTGGCTTAACAGTCCTACTGCTTAGCCCAGCTATAATTCCAAAATGATTTTTGATAAAGATTAGGGCAGAAGCAAAGAACTGTAGAGTTGTGAGTGTGACCAGAAAGGGTAGCTTGAATCAAGAGCTGTGTTGCTAGTGATAACAAGCTTGGGACCTGGTTATCTAAAGGAATGTCTGTGTCGATATATGCCCTCCCACCCCCTGTGATCGGCAGCAGATGCCCTTCTCCGGGAACCCTCTGTGAATGTTATTAGGAGGGTGAGTACCCGGAGGAGGGCCTTCTTTGTGGTGGCGCCCCATCTATGGAAGGTGCTCCCCAGAGAGGTCCGCCTGGTGCCGTCATTATTTGCTTTTCAACACCAGGAGAAGACCTTTTTATTTAAAAGTTATTTTAACTGTTAATTTATTATTATTGTATTTATAGATTTTAATATATATAGCCAAGATGGTACCAGTTTTTAAATTATTAATTTTTTTATGAATGTTGTGAGCTGCCCTGAGGCTTTGTTGCGATGGGGGTGGCATAGAAATGTTTTAAATAAATAAATAAATAAAATAAACAGTAGAACAGGAGAGGTCAGAGGCTTGAGCCAACTTTTCCTGCCAACCATAAAGTTATCATGTTTTATTGTACCAATCAACATAGATCCTAGCATCACGAATCACTCTGCGCATGCTTAATTATAACTATTTGGTAGTGGTTTCCAAAAAACAAACCCAAGACAGCCTCTCTTGTTCATTTTTTATGGCAAACCATTTTACTGGATCATAAACTGAACAGTATGGGCTTCCTTGTTGATCCTGATTGGGAGGGTTCTCAACTAAATGTCATCTTTGCTTCATGGTAGGAAATGCAGCTGTGAATCTGTGTAGAGAACACTGGCAGAATGGGGATGGATTGCCTAACCCATAAGAGGATCAAACTTACCTTCAAGCATGCTGTTTTAGAAAGGTTTAACAATGCTTTTATTTTGAAGGAAAAGCAGCCTATCAGTAGCTGCAGTTAGGAAAAGAGAAAAAAGCTCTGTCCCCCTAACTTTGTACTATATATGATGCTGAAAAGGGGTATGTTTTGTAGAGGAAGAGTTCTCCCAGCTACGAAACTCCAAACACGTACTGAAGTGGTGCCTCCTCCAAGCTCTGTCACTTTGGGGTGGGGAAAAGTATGAAAGCAACAGAAGACAGATGACCGGGGCTATGGTGCTGTATAGACTGTAGTGAAATGCCACATGGAACAACCTCTGCTTGCTTGCTCGCTCATCCACCCTCTCAAGCCAGTCACCTTCTATTACTTGTTTGAATTCTCTTTCTGGGTGGCAGTAAAATGGTGGGCATTCACCCTACTGCACTGAATCCCAGTCAGGCATGCTGTCCAGAAAGATAGAAAGTGGGGACTGAGAGAAGGCAGCAGGTGAAGGCCATCCAAGCCTTTCTTTATCTCAGTGGCATGAACTAGGGAAATGATGGTTGCTGCTGCCCTGCCCTCTTCTTCCAAAAAACTTAGACACCCTCAGCCCTTGGGCAGTATAGAAAGGAGGTCTGGGCTCAGCAGAACCATCCAAGGAGAGAAAGAGAGCAAAAGGAGACAATAGCCACTCCTTGGCTGGAGCAGCCAGCTTATCCTTTGGTGGGTGGTGTAATGGTGAAGATAGGGCTTGTTGACCAAATGGTCCATGTCCTGGTATGCGTATGGCCAAAATACACAACAGGGGAAGCTTTTCCTTTAAAAGATTTATCATCAAGAACAACCAGCTGCCAATGAATCATTCCAGATGGCACACCTGAGCAGCCCTCAGTTGGCTCTTTTATACATTGAGAGTTGAAAGGTTACATGTAACACAGTTGACACTTTCCAATAGGTTACAGAAGTGAAAAGTTACAATGGTGTGATCTTTCCCACTTTTTGGTGTGAATTGCCCCTTGTTTGTGCTGTTATCTGTCAAGAGTCAACTAGCCTTCTCTGTAATGGTGCCTGTTTAAGTTCAAATACATTTAAGGATGCACACATGTGGATTTCTAGAAAAGAGGATTTGTGTCAATGATTGTATTATTTAACCAATGAAAGATCCCTATTGAATCCGCAAATGGAAGCCACATTTCACAGGGGAAGCAGTGATTTTATCTGCTACCATACAGAGGCCCAAAGGTGATGACAGGCAGGAACCCCAGAATTTATACTTGGAAACAAGTTGCTGCATTTGGGCAGGAATGACAGCCGCAAGTACGGTGTGGTGGCTCAGACTAGGCCCCAGGAAAGTCACTTACTTAGTCTAGCCTACTTCACAGGGTTGTTGTCAGGATAAAATGGGGAGGAAGAAGACCATGTAAATCACTTTGGCTCTCTTGTGAGATGAATGTAGTCATCTTGTATATCCCCCCCAAACCTCTTGATGGTTGATAAAAGTGGGTGATCCCTGAGGACTGCTGGTACTCATGCAGAGATGCAACTAAACAGTAGTTGTACTTGCTGCTTGACACCCACAAGCGCCACAAGTTGTGCCATCTGAATTTGATTATTGTCTGTGAGAACAGAGTTCCCACCGTTCCACTTCTAGAGTTCCCTTCGTGGACCTCAGCAGCGGACAGTGGGGAGAAGAAACTGATAAGGGAAAAAAAAAACAGCAAAATAGAAGAGAGCCTTCCCTACATTCACCCCTTACAATAATGGCGTCTTCGGGAAATGCGACCAAACAGCTCCCCGCCACCTGAGGCGGCTGCCTTTTTTAAGCAGCGTGGACGTCGCCAGTAAAATACCGCTCCACCCTTTCCATTCCTAAACAGCCTACCTACTGGAAGTGTCGCCGTCTTCGCTTTTCTAAGCCAATGGAAGCTCGCAGTCCACGTGCACAGGGAACTATCAGCCAATCGCAATGCTGATGTTCACGTGCCTCCAGTGCCGGAATCCACCGATTCTGCCTGCCGGCTTCGCAGTAATCTCAAGAAGCCAATAGGAAGCCAGACGGCCGTTTCTGCATCACGTGGCGTGACCTTAATTGAAGCGCCGAAGATCGTTTTAAGGGAAAATAACACAGTATAGTGCGTTGGATTCTTCCGCGGTCCTCTGAGTTGGATTAAGCGAATCGAGACACAAAACTCTGCGTAACTGTTCACTTGCTCTCCAGAGTTTTAGAAGTGTGTACGAGGAAATCCAATTGCTTGAATGAAACTGTTTTAATCCAGGAGATGACTGGCGGAAGGATTTCTTTCTGTGAGAAGATGGTTTTGCCGGATCTTGCTGACTATATAAAGTGAAAACACGATAGGCGACGCCCTTATTGTCTGGATACAAAAAGTGGTTGTTATAGTTGTCTGGGTTCGGTTTGCTGGGTGCGCTCTGACCGACCAAGCAGGGAGTGATTTTGACTACTGCGGCCGCCGCCATGGCATGGTAGGGGCGGTAGCGCAAGCGGCACTGGCCATTGCAGAGGCGCAGCAGCAGCGGCCGCGGCCTCGGCACCTCCAGGCATCTGCAACCATGGCGTGAGTATCGAGGAGGGCTGGGGGACAGGTATTGGACAGGGTGGATTGGGGGGGGGGGGTAAAAAACTTTTAAACAAGCTGTAGAAGCAGAAACGACAGTACGACCATATCTAGTGGTTAATGCGCTTGAGGGAAAATATACTTTGTACCCCACGTATCTATGAGGAAATTTTAAGTGTCTAAGCAGAACTGTATAGTAAGAGGGACGTGATAGCATCGGCCTGGGATGGTTCGTTTTCACCGCAGCAGGGCTACTTGGAGGAAGGGGGGCAATCAGGGCGTGGGTGTCGCAGTAGATGTGGGACTCCTCTTGGGAAAACTGGGGGCAAATTTGTTTGCTAAAGCAGATGCTCGATTAATGCGCTTCTGGGTTTCCCAGGCTAATTAGGAGGTAGACTGAATTCCCTCCATGTCTAAGACGATCCGCTGGGATTTAAAACTATTAGCCCTGTGTGCTTTTCTAGGTATAATTTAAGCAATTATTTAAGCAAAATTGTTCCTTTTTTAAAGACAGCAACTATTTTTAGTAGCAGCTTGTCAGGCGGAATTGGTCAACTAAAGCTTTTTTTTTTTTTAAAGTACAGGTTAAGTGTTAGGGAAACTACTAGATGCTAATAAAGTGATATATAGTGGCTTTAAGTTTCAGACACAGCGGGTAGGGAACACAACAGTGTGGCTACTTTTCTTATATATCTTTTTTCTGTGTTAACCGATGTGACCTAGATTGGAAGCCTTTTTTTTTTTTTTTATTTTGAGCTTCCAGGGAAGGGCTGAGAGGGCAGACCTGAGGACAGACCTTCAGGAAAACCTGGAGCTGGTTTTCTGTATAGCCACTTCTGGAATTCATTCGCTTTTATCACTGGATGTGAATTCAAGTGCTTTGGTACCCGTGTGTCTGGTGGTCAGCCTTGATTAGAAAGAGATCCTGATCATCAAGCTTAGTCTGAGTAACTGAAATGGAAACGTGGCAGGAAACAAAATGGTGGCCTGTTTATAGAGTGGAGACGTGTGGAGTGGGTAGCTCATGAAATGGCTGCTTCTGTTACTGCTAGTGAATCAGACTGACAGTGGGTGGAGCTGTAACTGGCTTTGACCATGTATGGTTCTGAGTAACTGAGTGGGTTGCCTTACGGAATTTTTCATGAAGAAGTCCTAGTTGGCGCTGTTGCACAAGAGAGCTTGTTGGCTATCATAGGCCATATCCTTTGATAGGATCTAGATGTTGTGGCAATAACTCCCTTTAAAAGATGTATCAATTTCTTGCGTTATCACCATGTATAGTCTCTCTTGTCCTGTTGTGGGGATGATCTGAATTATTGCAAAAATTACCATTTAAAATGTAACTAAAAAAATGTTTTGGTTTTTCTCCAGGTTTTTCAAGGAATCACACAGCAGCTTTGCTGTAATTGACAAAGACACCATCTATTTGTCCACACTTTTTGACGACAAAGTACTAAAACTTGGCAAAAATGAGCATCTCAAACACAAGGATGTTGTTGGGGGATATTCAGTTCCCCTTCAACCAGCCGTGCTTGGTGGCTGAGGACAGTCTGCGGCTCCTAGATGACTACCTGGAGGTGGCCGAGAACCATGGGTTCTCCAGCGAAAAGGCTAAAGTGGGCTTCTCCGATTGGCTGGCTGTGGATAGCTTAAGTAATGCCACAGACGACAGCCAGGGTAAGACTGAAGGACTTAAGAGTATTGTTTGAACTTGTGTTGCAGGGATGCAATTCTATGAAAGTAAATGTTAAGCATTAAGATAGTAAAGTGATGCATTACTAAAAGCAACATAACTTTTGAAGGGAATATAACAGGTATTTTTTCACGTGTTTTCTTTTTGTAACAGAGGATGCCTTCTCTGGCATGGATTGGATGGTGGAGAAGATGGATCTGAAGGAGTTTGACTTCGATGCACTGTTAGGCATCGATGACCTGGAAGCCACCGTCTCCCCAGATGAGCTCATGGCCACATTTGCAGACACTAGTGATCTGTTTGACACTACTATTCAACAAATTCCCAACAAAGCAACTCTGATATCAGAACCGATTATTCATTCCCCTGAGTCTCCCCCTGGGGCAGACCAGGTAGCCCCACTAACCCCTTTGTTACCACTTCCCTTCTCCCCAGGGTCACCCATCTCCTCTGCAGACCATTCTTTAAGCTTAGAACTAGGCAGTGAAGTAGATGTTCTTGAAGGAGATAGGAAAAATGAAGCCCCCTTTGACCTGATTTCCAAGTGTAAGAGGGAGGATGATGCACACTCTGACAATGATAGTGGAATATGCCTGAGCCCAGAATCTTATCCAGAGTCACCCCAGCAAAGTCCTATCGCTTCTGTTAGTTCCCTCAGTGATGGCCAGTCAGTTAATCCCTTGCATGATAGTTTCGTGCGGCCCAAACCTTACGATCGGCCTACTGAGAATGTAGTGACATTAAAAATGAAGGGAGAAAAGAGAATAGACAAGAAATTGAAGAAGATGGAGCAAAACAAGACAGCTGCTACAAGGTATCGACAGAAGAAAAGAGCAGAGCAAGAGGCTTTATCAGGGGAGTGTAGAGAACTTGAACAGAAAAATGAGACCCTGAGGGAGAAAGCAGATTCCCTGAGCAAAGAAATTCAATATTTGAAAGATCTGATTGAAGAGGTTCGCAAGGCCAAGGGTAAAAAAGTCAAAGTCTCAGAATAGGCTAGCTGCATGCATGTATATAAGAGCCAGTGCAAATTATGTATTGCTGCATAATAAATTATTTTCTAGTATTTGTGAATCCGGAGCAGTTTTTCTTTCACGTATTCAACCAAACTGTATTGTAACATCTGAAATTCAAGTAAAAATTACAGACATAAGCCATTCTGGGGCAAAACCAAGCAATGACATTTTACAAGCTTAGGAATAGTACTTCCAGACACGTTATTTCTCATTTTATGTAAGTTGCACCACAGTTCCAGATCAGCAAACTGCTTGGGGCTGGATCTGGTGAACTTCAAAGTAAATTAGAGGTACAGCCAATAGTTTGGAGAACAGACCTCCTCAAGCAGTTTCTTAAGTGTGTTCCTGGAGCTAATGACCGCATTGTAATGGAAACCTGAATCTTGGCTATGCTTTCTCTTGTTTTTTTTGTATGAACAGGTAAAAATTTTCAAGGACTTGTACTGGCTGTTAGCCCAACCAGTATGCATTTTGCAAGGCAAAGTTTTCATGCTTGGTTAAACTTAAGTCCAAATTGAGCACACACACTTCCAAATAGGTTTCCTACGGAGCTTTCACGATTTCCACTAATCTAGTGTGACAAATTAAGACTGTAGGGTCTATGTGTGAGATGTCTTTGAATTCACAAATCCTTCAGAGAATTCCATGGCCCCATGTCTAGAATGAGATTCACAAGTAAATCTAGCAGACTTGATCGGAATAGAAATGCTGGCTTTGTCACTGCACCTTCAGACTTGCAGTGTACATAATTTTCTTACGATAGAGATTTCTCAATGTACTATCTACTGCTAGTTATGGAGAAATTGGACAAGAAGCTGACATGGGATTGAAGATGACTATACTCCATGGAAATTTCAAAGTGTTAGTATGTTAAGATGTGTTTAAAAGACTCCCATATAGACTTAAAGCTCACCTAAAACTGATTGATCATTTTTGTCAGGCATCTGGTAAATGCAATTTTTAAGAATTCCCAGATACCGTGCACTGCACACTAGCAGATACGCTTTTGAAAAAACTTTAATCTTGTTGAAACCTCTACTAGTGGAAGTCCTTTTTTTCTTTCTTCAGCCTCTATTACAAAGACTACACAAAATAGGATATTCAGTGTAAAAGTAGCACCATAATTAAGGTAACATTTACACAGGCACAACTAAGTACACGAACAGGTCAACAACCACTGTGGATACATAATGTCCTTTATCTTGTGGAATGGCTTAGAAGAAAATCTTCCCACAAATTGGCTTTACAATATTTAAGTACCTCTAGATTGAAAAACATTAAAGGACAACTTGGAGCCCAAAAGATGTCAAACCATGTGAGAAACAGTTGATGCTACCAGTGATGTCTTGGTGGCATTACACCTTCAGGCACCTATAGCTTACAAAGCAGCTAGGCTCCAAACTGATTAGAAAACTGATAGCTTTATCAAAACCAGATAAATTCTTCTGGCAGAACTAAAAAGGTCAATAAAGTGAAAAAAAGATAAGCATTTATGAACTTTTATTTGCATAATAGTTTGGGAATGGTGCTGCCTTGTCCTGTGTATGCAACAGCCAAGGTCCAGCATTCCAACAGAACATTTGCCTCTGCTCCTTGTCACTCCCATCCATGCTCTCCAAATTAGTATTTTTGAGGTTGCATAGGGGGCTACTGGAGAAGAGCCTAATGCTGGGAACAATAGATGGCAAAAGAAGGAGGGGACGGCAGAGCATGAGGTGGCTGGATGGGAGTCAATGAAGCAGTCGGTGTGAGCTTAAGTGGACTCCGGGGATGGTGGAGGACAGGAAGGCCTGGAGGAATGTTGTCCATGGGGTTGCGATGGGTCGGACACGACTTCGCGACTAAGAACAAGGGGGCTACAGATGACAGAGAAATCCCATTCCACCAGTGAAAATGCATTCTGCTACAATGCACTAACAAGAAAACCTTCCCTTGAATAAGGCACACAACAATTTACTTTGCTATGGAATAGGTGGACTGCAGGAGGTACAGATGCACATATTCTAATGATCAGCTTAGTATCAGCAAGGGCCAAGAAGAAAGACTGAAATAGCTGCAAAATGTTCACATGGATTTGTTTTAGCAAAACATAGGTTAGGTTGGTGTAACTATTTTAATAATTAAATGGTACATAGTTCTACTATACCTTCTAGAAAGGACATTATAAAGGAAATTTATCCACCACCATTCAAGTACTTAATTTCTAGTAACTGCCAAAATAAACCTTGCATGTTGTCTTTAAATTGTTTGTTACAGAACAGTACACAGTGCTTTAAAAAAAATCTTGCATCTGTGCAAGAGTCAACAGTGTCCTTCCCAAGTTGCCTCAATCTGTTCACCTTCAGAAGTACTGCAGCATCAGTTCCTCCACGTACAGAAACTTGGTAAGTTTTTGAGACATTTTTTCAGATATAGTGGGGAATTATATGAAATTTTTAGATAATACCTATTTACAAACGGTACAATTGTGGAAGACAACTTCCATAGAGTCATCAATAAACTTCAGATTCCCATGTTATTTTGGCTAGTGTCATGCTATTCATTGTATACAAATGATGACTGAGGCAGAAAGATACCTGGCTTTGAATTAACCTAGTTTTCCCTCTTTTCCAGAAGGTAGGTCTGTTGCAGCAAAAGCAGTCCTATGCTTGTCCTAAGCAGCACTTTACCCCAACCCAGTATTTACAGTTGGTTCCCTTCCCCATGCCTGTAAGACCTATCCATTTACGTCATCATAATTCCTGGTGAAGTGGAAATGACTTTTACACTAGACTTTCTCTCACACAACAGAAGTATTAAAGTGGCAGAGTGTCAGTGAGCTTTCACTGTGTTTGAGAGCTCTAGACTTTCTGTCTGAAGTACAGCCTAAAATGCTGCATAAAATGAAGCAACACATGTTAAGCGGCTGCAGCTTCTTACAGTGAATGTGACTTCCAACAACTTGGAGAAAGGAAGCATTCTGATCTTTGATGCTTTCTGTATAACAAAGAGGCAGTTCCCTTGCTCAGGATCTTCCAGCTCCACCAAAATATTCTCTCTCAAATTTCTTGAAGTCTTCCTCGGTGAACACAGTACTTTCAGGCTTCTTCTTAGCTTTCTCTTGAGGATTGTCTATTGCTTTCCTCCCTCTGTTTTGAGCTAAAATCTTTAGACAAAATATAAAAGCAAATGAAACATTACACCTAAGCAGTTATACCTATCAAATCTCAATCCAACTTCTTCCAGCTCAAACATCTGTGCATACATTGCTGAAAGAACCAGGGACCAGGGTTTGTACGCAGTGCTGAAAATGGCAAGGAAGTCCTCATTTTGATCAGAGTGAGTCCCCCGGGAGTCTACACTCTATACAACTGCAAAACTTCATTTATGGTCCAGTTTTCAAAAGGGCTTCGGATTGCACCCCCAAATCTATAGCATGTCTTTGTCATGCACTCTGAAATTGGCTATGGACAGAATCACTGGGAATGGAAGAGCAAGTGGCAGTTAGCAATGCTACACTGTGTGTTGGGAGAAACATGTTGGAGGATCCCATGATTCTGCACAAGCACCATGGAAGTATGGAATCTGGTGCTGGGTGCAGAATTCAGCACCCCGAAATATGATACTTTTCCATTTTACCTGTCTAGCTGTCAAAGGAAACTTGCATGTGGATGGTTAATGCCCACCAAGATTTCAAAAGCTAGAGTAGGAGCTGGATAGATGTCAGGATCATCATCTATTATCAGATGGGACTGCCTTTCAGAACTGACCAGAGTTTACTTCTAGCAGGGTAACAATATTTAGCAAATATTTCTAAAGCCTTGATAGGCTCCATTATTGTAAAAGCAGTACGATCTGTCTACAAATGTGATTCCACTGCATTGATAATCTTTATGGGTGAAAATTAGTATACTACTACTACTACTAATATAAACCTCTGAATTCAGAGGATTTCAGCCTTCCTATAGAGTGCAGGAAAAGCACAGGGGTCAAGGTTACCTCAGTGTTTCTTCCAACCAGCCAAAGACTTAGACAGCTGATTTGGGCTGTCCAAATCTTCTGCAGCAGCTCATGAAGTACCCAGGCTGAGGTGCTGCCAGGACACATCATATTCTGCAAGAGTTTCACTCTTTCCCTCCCCCTCCACATCTCCCAGAATGCCTAAGCAGTGGAGGTTCTTTCTATACCTGCTGTGAGATTGGAAGATGGTACTCTGAATTTGGAGTTCCAGCTCCAATCTTGGGAGTGCATTTCTGAGATCTGAGCTGAGATTTCCAATTTTCCTATGGGTATATAGACTGTCTAGCTGCCATAGGATGGCACCCTTAGTTCCCTAGATTGTAGAATTTGAGTTACCTTTCTACTTATATAAGTTTTTTTTAAGTGCAATGTAAACACAGCCCTGTATTTCCAATGGGTTTCTATCAAAATATATCAATGTCCTGTTTTCATAGAAGCAGTAGTCACTTTAAGGGCTAAAGGAACCATACAGTGGGTAAGACTCTTCACAGTAATGAAGATATATCATCTTTAATATACATGGTGGTCCAAAAGTAGATAAACTGTACGGACTGGGTCATGTTTTGTCTCTTAGGTGCTCAAAATGTGCTCCATCAACATTGCAACACTTTGACACAAATTCCAGTTAGCACCAGTGCTTGCAAGAGGAACTCCTTCAGTTTGTCCACAGTGTGAGTCCTTCCATCAGTATTGTATACCTACTTTTTTGATGGTACTTTTTGGCCCACCCTGTATAAGGCAGCACAATTACCACAAGGGTTTTGCATTTAGATTATTTCCAAAGAGACAGTGATCTTAAATATTTTATCTGAAGATACCATTTGATAGTTGAGAGTTTGAAATAGTTTGGAAAGAATGGTAAAGAAAAAGGCAGTAGGAATTGCGACGTGCAGAAGAACATGGAGTCATACGAAGAACATTGTCCCTTCTCTATACACTCAAACATGTGGTCTAACCTTTTGAGGCGTCATTTGATAGCATAAGTAGAACTGCAGAACTTTCCTAGTTTTCCACATGTACCTGTGTTCACCCCACTGCCAAATATAGCAGTAGTATGCTATATTTCCCATTGTAAACTATAAAGAAATAGAAAACAGGCCCACCTTTTGAGTGATAGTGCTGTCTGCAACAAACTGATTATTCATCATGTACAGCATGTTCTCCTGAAAGTGGTCAATAGCTTGACATTTCCTATACTCCTCTGGGAAAGAACCAAAATGAAAGTGTGTGATTATGCACAAGGTGTGTTTGGGAATATTCGTTCTGGGTAAGATTCAACATTATCCCATTAATTTTTTCTGCCTTCACCAGGCCTGGCATATATACTGCCAGGCAAAATTCTTGCCCTTTAAATGGTACAGTGTGGGTTATATTCTGAATACTACACACAATTCTGTTAAGATAGTACTTTGCTGGCTGAACTAGAATTGTTTATGAGACATAATCAACTAGCTAGTTAACTCCATGCTGAGAATAAATGCAAAGTAATAATAAAACCATCTAATGTGGATAATTATTTTAGGCCTATAATGGGCTAATCACAAATTCTGTGATACAGTGTGTTGAGCAAAGGGATCAGGACAGCCATTCCCCACCTGAGGCCCTCTAGATATACTGAACTACAACTCCTACCATACCCTCCATATGGGAGTTCAAGTCCAACACATCTGGAGGGTGTCCGGTAGGGCTGCACTAGGGAATGGAGAATTACAGTTGTGAAGGAACTGACTATGCCAGATTCAGAATTGGCATAATTTGGGAGACTTTCTGGGGAACAATTGGTCCTGAATTGCGAAAGCCCATAATATGACCCAGAACAGCCTGTTTTCTCCTCACCTAATCTATGGAACAGCTGGGTCAATAATGGTGGTAGAGTTTTCTTCTGTCATACTATGGCTCTCTCCATCCACCAGCTTCCCTTTTTTACTCACACAGAAAGAAATAGAAAGTTTCCTATGGCTCCTCAGCCGTCCCTCCCTGAAACACACTTATCTAGGAGTACATCATAGGAATGCCTACTTAGAAATACAGTGCAACCCTGTGGCAGGCAAATGGAAAACACAGACAGGTGCCTGGAGATTCAATATAACCTCTTGGTATGTTAACACATACCATTCACATTTTCTTCATATATATGAAATGGAATTTTATACCAGCACTGGCTGTAGAAAAATACTATTTATGTTTTGCCTGAGGATATAGACTTCCAGTCGGATTTCTGTATCCCCAATTTGTAAGATAAGATACATTCACTGTTTATATAAACTGAGTTGCTCAAGGACAGCTGGACCTTACCACAAATGATATAGGCATCAGGGGCTTGTTGTATGCCTGAACATGAGCCCATGGGCCTGGCAGTGGCCAAAGAAAAGTATTGCTGATTGACAATACTGCACTGTTTGCTCAGAAGATTGCTTTACATGACTATGCTAACATCCAGGTGGTTGTGTGTGTGATGTCCAATATTTTGCAGTTACATTGGAATAATTCAGAATGGGTAACACTAAGGTAAGTTGCCTCTAGTGGAATTATTTACTCGTTTATACCTTTTTTGAATAATTACTTTTTTGCTTCAAACACTTCTTTGAATTGCCATTTAGAAAGCATTTTTATCTCATATACAGAAAATCAGAGCATGAAATTGTGCATCACAGAAATCTAACTACACCATATCATAAAAGAATGTTAAAATGTACACCAATGATATCTTACAATGCTGCAAATAATACTGCTGCATCTTAACTGGTGCTTTGCAGCACAATGGTACCTCCGCAACTCTCACCTAATGCAGACTTGGTGACTTTGCCTTTGACTGTGGATGTCTCTCTTTTGGACTGTGAGAACAATTTCTTCTTTTTCGTCCGTTTCAGCAACTGCTTGTTGGATTGGGCAGTGGTGGCTGCTCTTTTGGGCTGGGAAGAGGACACTGTAGTAGAGACAGAGAAGTGAGGTGAGGAGAGAGCAACTTAAAGCACAATTCTGTACATAATAAGACAGAAAAAGGCCCTGCAGCTCCCTGAATTTCCCAGTCAGCTATCTGAAAGTGCTGGAAGCTGTAGGGCTTTTTTTACGTCTCCACCTGCATAGAACTGCGTCATAAATGCATAATCCTATACATGTTTAGACAGAAGGAGGGCTAGCACCAACTGGCTGGGGAATGCTAGCAATTATAGGGCTTTTTTCTGACTACATGTGCACAGGATAGCTTCCTAATGGGTTCATCAAACTAAAAAACCACAGGATTTCGTCCCCTTTCAACCTCTCCTCCAATGCTTTCCGTTACCTCCTGTCGTCTCCAGTAGCTCGAGACCCTTTCTCAGCAGCGAAGCCGACATATTCCACGCCTCTTTTCTTTCATCCACGTGAACCTCTTTCCAGTTTCAGCTCTATGGCCCCTTCCGTGACGACCGGCACTTACGTGTCTGGTTCTCCCACACTTCCGGCGGCTAATGGAACCTCCGCTCTAGCAGTTCCGTTCCCACTCAGCGTGCCCCGTGTGTTTGAGTTGCGCGACTGAGAAGCTGCGCTGGGGAAATGAGGGCGCGATTGGCTGCCTGGTTTCTAGGAGGAGAGCGGTTGCGTCTCCGTGACTGAGGGTGCAATCCTGTGGAAGCTCACGCAGCACTTACTTGGAAGCAGATTCAGGATTGCTCTCTCAGTCAAGGCTAGCGACCTCTGGACTAAAGCTGACCGTTGGTTTTTATTTGTTTAGTAATTCCTAATTTAACCTAGTTTAAGTAAAAATCGCTTTAGAAAACCTAACATCTTCAATTAAAAAAGGGCAAAATTGATAATTAATGCTTTCTAGTGAAACCACAAATTGCATTACTCTAATCCGCAAGTGCCTCCTAATATGATAAATTTTCTAACAATGACACAATCCTATACATTTCTACTGGAAAGTTTGTGTTCAGTGGGGCTTTCCACAGTTAAGTGGGCACAGGATTACAACCTAAGACTGCAATTTTAAGCACAAAGGAGGCAAGCCCTATGCAGTACAGGAGGAGTTTCTTTTGAGCTGGCATGTATAAAATTTGCTTCCAGTTTCATATATTGGAAAGCCAATAGGACTTTAATGTGTTTTGAAATGGGACCTGTAGGTGGTGTGGATCCTCTGATAGGTGCCCCCAAGTGTCATTTGGGTGCTTTGGAGGTGTCTTTAGAGGTGCTTGCCCTGTAGCCACTTGGCTTACTCTTGGGCTGGTTTATAAACACAGAAGCCTAAAGGCGATACAATTTTGGGAAAGAACAGCTGGAAAGAGGATAATTAATACTCCCTAGTTGTGCCCCCCACCACACCAACAGTTAGGTTTTAAAAATACATTTGTATTGTGAATTTCAATATGTTACAACAAAACCCAAAATATAAATAGTCAAATTATGTAAAGGTTAGGTATGTGCTTGTAATAAACAAATCCATATATGTATATAAGGAAGTATAATTGTAAGTAAAATAAGCTTCTACTTACTTGTGCATAAGCTTCAGCAAAGGAAAGCTGAATGTCCCCATCTTTATGTGTACACAGTGTCTAAATATATCCATGTGTACATAGTGTCTAACCATCCATTCACTGATTGTAAGAGTTAAAATATCCATAATTCATTGCCTCATCGTGTGTTTATTCTTCCAATGTTGTAATACCAACTATTTAGTTGCCACAAGGACACAGAAAATCCATTTACATTGACCTTGTGTTAGATTCCAAGAAGTTAAATAAGAGTTTTCTAATATGAAATGTATCTGTATTATAACATCGCAAAGGGAAGCAGCTGTTGGGCATTGCCAAAATCAATGGATGAAAGAAACATTTGCTGTATCACACATCCAGCAGTTGGCAGACTTATGTAACAATTCATCTTGAAAAAAGCCATTTTCCAATCTCATTTGCTGTCCAAGAAACCACAGGCTGGATAGTGAAGCTCCCTGCTCCTGACTTATAATAAGGAAGTGGGGTGTTGTCTTTTAAAGGGGTCTCACAACAATAATGGTTATTGCCAACTTGGTGAAAGAAAAAAGCCTCTGGAAATTAAAACAAAGCAAAGCAAGACTTTAAGCATCCCAGTCAGGAACAGAGTGAAATCCACAGCTTGAGTACTGGGTAATGGAGTGTGCACATTTTATATTACCTCCCAAAGTGGGGGACAGAGACAGCAACACATTTATAAAAGAAGGATTGGTTATTTGTTAAAACGGGACAAAGTGTGACAGCAGGGCTGAGCATGGTTTTCAAGAGTCTGGCATATTTTATGGATGGTCCTTATGGAACAGTTCTGCTTGGGTAGCTGATCCCAAAGCTCAGTATTTACAACTGTCATTAGAGTATGATTTTTAAAAATTTCAAAAACAAGAACTTGTTGGAGTTTTGGGGTTTTCAAATGATCAAATGATTGTCTGGGAAAGATAGCAACCAAGTCCTTCCTTTAACTTGCATTAATAATGTCTTCCACAGATAAGAAATTGGGCTATTACTAGCCATAAATCCAAAGCAATGCTCTAAATGGCACCCTTGCATAGTATTAAGGTGTGCAACAATACTTTTATATGCTTAGCAGTGCAAGCCTGGATACGGTTTAGCAGAACTAAACTCTATTGTATTCACTAGCTATGCCATGTTTAGGGTGACAACCATAATCCTCTGTACTGTACCTACCAGTAGTGCTGAACCAACTGCATTTAGTACATTTTGCATGGTCTAGATCTTTTAATTGGCTGTGACAAACACAGATCATTTACCCTATCCTTCATGACTATGAGTCAGACCAGGCTTTTAGAATCAAGTACTTGAAAGCAAATGTGCTGCAGCTGCTTCCTTAACCATGTTTTTTTGGTAAATAGCTACCATTGGTTTTAATAGACGCTATTGTATGTAAATATGTGGAGAGTTACAGCATTTATGTAGTAACTTGGCCTAGAAGAGCCAAACCATATGGGGCTGCAAACCATTATTGTTTAAATGTTTATTGTTGATCAATATTTTAATTTTTTCAATTAAACTCCCCTCAAAACTGAAAAGAAACAAAAGATATGGGTACAGATGTTCATAAAATGGTTCTTTTATCATTAGTACTGAGACAGACAAGCTATTAAACTAGTTTAGCTCTTGATCTTTTCATAGCTGGGGTGATGAACCATGGGAATCTGGCCCTCCAGGTGTCACTGACAGTCACCCCCTATATAATTGCATGGTTTCCCAGCTTTTGATCAGTTTCTTCTCTATTCTAAAAGGTTTAAGTGCCTTTCTAGGCCTTGATTACTAACAATAAGGGCATTAATCTAGTTTATGCTGGTATGTTTGGTTTGTTAGCAGTCTTTTGATTTGTCTTTTGATCCTGGATCTGCCCAGAACAAGAATGTTGCCCCTGGGAACCTCTTCAAAAATGGATATGGCTTTTGATCTGAAAGAGGCTCTGTACCCATTTCATGTGTTCTTAAAAGGGTTTCCAGAAGGTAGCTATGTTAGTCTGTTGCAGCAAAAGCATCTTAAAAGTTAACAAATATATTCTTGCATAATGTTTTGTGAATAAAGTTGGCCACAAACCATGAAAGTCCTTAATCTTTAGCATTTGTGGAAACACAAGACTACTGTCTTTGTTAAAAAGTTAATCCCTTCTTAGGAAAATTTACTAAATTTTTGCAAGAAATACCAAAGAGAGTAATGAACAACTCTAGTAAATACATTCCATTGTAATTTAGACTGCGATTTTGCAATTTCCTAGGACAATAATACCTAACACCACCTCATTTTAGTTTCTGTTCCATTCCTCATTTGTTTGGTTCCAGCAAACTTGGCAGGCATATCACAGTAAACAATTGCAATAAATGGGTGACTTTGGTAGCCCTTGTCCTTAAAATGCTAATACTATCACTGTTAAGATGCTTTCTCATTGCAGTTTCTGTTCCTTAAGGAATCAATTTTATCTCAGCCTTGCTAGTGCCAGACAACATAATTTTGTGCCAGTTCTATTAAGAGTTTATTGACCAATGAGTTTGAACTAATTTTGCTAGGTAGTTTATGATTCCTTTAAATGAAAGCAGGAATGTATTTTAAACAGAGCAGAATACTTTTCAGCTCTCATGATACTTTACATGAATCAGCAGTTTAAAACAATAGCACTGCCCAAATTAGATTTAGTACTTGGAACACCTTGTAAAACTCCTCTACTTTTTCACTTCAAAGTCTTCCTCTTCTAAGCTTCATTACATTCAGTGGTGCAGCTAGCTAATTTTAGAAACTTGTAATGAAAACACAAGCCTATGCATGCTTAGACTGAAAAATGAGCTACAATTCCCACTACACCTCTGTGAGCTATGCTGGCTGGGGAATGCTGCTTGTTTTAGGCTGTTTTATGTCAATTCATGCATAGAATTTGCTCTCGAGCAGAACCTTCTACTGCCTCCATTCCATGAGTGGAAACCTGTTGATTATCTTCTGCTTGCAGAATAGAGAGTTATCATTTCTACGAAGAGGCCCTGAAATGAGTGCGAATGCTCATTTCTGAAACAGGGCAGGTCTGCAAAGCTCCCTTATGTGGATTCTGCTGGCTTGGCCGGTAAATTTCTATTTTGGTATTGATGGGTACATTGGCCATTCACAGGCAGTCTCCATTAAGCCTGACCTTAATGATATTGTGGGGAAAGGGGACTTTGGATGGCCATGTGTAGTATTTCATTTATGAAGCAAATAATTAGCAGTTCTCCTCTCCTTGTCATTCCATATTTCACAACTGATTCTACATTCTTGAAATGTTACTGCAAAGCCAACCAACCATATGCCAAAAAGAAATGCTTATTGATTGATTGTTTTAAACTCATTTGAATATAATGCTATAACTAGAAGAATAAAATGGTTTGTTTCCTCTTCCATGTTGCTAATTAACTCCCACATTAATTGGAAATAATAAATGCCATTTTGTTATAAGAAAATAATATATATGTATATACTGAAGTAAAAATAATCAACTGAACTTCTGTAGGCATGTTTATGGCTAGCTGACCTCTAACTCCAAAATGCTTAAAGTAAGAAAGGATTCAGCAATGAGCCATATCAATCCAGGTGGGCCCAGGTAGCAGACACAGGGCTGCTCAGCCAGTACCTTCACCACTTACCTTTCTCTGAAATGGCCAAGGGTGGCCCAAAAGGACCAAAGGCACAACCTATCTGCACCACTGGTAAGTGCTGACATTTCTGATATGGCTGTTTTGTTTTCCTTTCAACTTGTAGGCCTTGAAAAATGATTGAGAAATCTCTTTTTGTATGAGTTTTTTCTCCTTGTATTTCTGTGCCAAATGCAGTCAAGTTTTTTTTCAAAAAGTAATAATCTTTTAATAATTTCTTAGCATTTATGAAAGTCAGATATGCTGTTGTTTTAAATCAATTTGCATTTAAACTGCTTAAAATAAAATACAGCTACTTAGTTCCTTCATCCCTCTCATAGGTGCTGCAGAGCCTGAATAAGAAACCCAATTTAC